ATCCTGCATTTTGTCTTCTAGTTAGAACTGGACAGACATTGCATGGCTGTGGTTGTGTATTGTACACCCAAAAGAGGAGGCAAAGAGTCTGAAGAGAAGGGGAAATCTCAGATTAAAACCAGTTTAGAGCCAAGGCAGAACTGAGAATAGGTTTGGCTTGTTTATTAAAGTAACTGAAGATAGATTGGAAACATGTCAGTATTGCAGAAGATCTCCCTGACAGCTGAAACAAGGTTTTACAGGGTTCTTGCTCATGCTGACACTGAAAAAGTGACAACGGTGATGGGTGTGTGTGATACTACGCACTCCCCCACCCCCTTGCTACCTCAGGCCATGCTCCTCCAGGTAGCTATTCTGAGGGAGGCTTGTAGGCCTTCCACAAGAGATCTGGCCTTCTTCGTGGTGGCACCAACTTTATGGAACCAGCTCCCAGTGGAGCGATGCCTGGCCCCCTCTCTGTTAATGTTCAGAAGGCACCTCAACATGCTGCTCTTCAGGGAGGGCTTCCACACTGACCCTACTTGATTCTGGGCCTCCAGAACTGCTCTCTCTCTCTCTGAGAACAGGTGCTATTGGTCTGAGGTGTTCTGTTTATCAATTGTTTTTAACTTCTAGCTGGTGTATTCATAGTTTGAACAATATACGTTTTATTTATTCTTGTTGTAAATTGGGCTGTGTCCTAGCACCAACCCTTTTTGGGATCTTTTTTGCTGCCATGCTGAAGCAGGCCTTTGGAACTGCAGCCGAAGGTGTCTATCTCCGGACTAGATCAGACAGAAAGCTCTTTAATCTCTCTAGATTGAGAGCGAGGACCAAGGTCCAACTGAAATGCATGCAGGACTTCCTCTTTGCAGATGATGCAGCCATTGTTGCCCACTCTGCTGAAGACCTCCAACAATTCATGAATCGTTTTAGCAAGGCCTGCCAAGACTTTGGACTAACAATCAGCCTGAAGAAAACACAAGTCATGGGCCAGGGCGTGGACTCATCTCCCTCTATTACCATCTCCACACAAGAATTGGAGGTTATTTATGACTTTGTGTACCTTGGCTCAACGATCTCTGACACCCTCTCTCTAGATGTTGAGCTGGATCAATGCATTGGCAAAGCAGCTACCATGTTCTCAAGACTCACGAAGAGAGTATGGCTTGATAAAAAGCTGACAGCATACACCAAAGATCCAGGTCTATAGAGCCTGTGTCCTGAGCACACTCCTGTACTGCAGTGAGTCCTGGACCCTTTGTGTATGGCAGGAGAAGAAGCTGAACATGTTCCATATGCGTTATCTATGACACATTTTTGGTATCACCTGGCAGGACAAAGTTCCAAATAGAGTAGTCCTAGAACAAGTTGGAATTTTTAGCATGTATACATTACTGAAACAGCGACGTCTATGTTGGCTTGGGCATGTCGTAAGAATGGCTAATGGTCGGATTCCGAAAGATCTCCTGTATGGAGAATTAGTGCAGGGAAAGCGCCCCAGAGGGAGACCACAGCTGCGATTCAAGGAGATCTGCAAGTGGGATCTGAAGGCCTTAGGAATGGACCTCAGCAGATCGGAAACCCTGACATCTGAGCGTTCAGCCTGGAGGCAGACGTTGCATCACGGCCTCTCCCAATTTGAAGAGACCCTTGTCCAGCAGGTCGAGGCCAAGAAGCAGTCCCGAAACCAGCAAAATGAGGGAGCTGGACAGGGGACAGATTGGATTTGTCTTCAGTGTGGAAGGGATGGTCACTCTCAAATTGGCCTCCTCAGCCAGACTAGATGCTGTTCCAAGTCCTCCATATAGAGCACGTTACCATAGTCTCTCGAGACTGAAGGATGCCTAATGCAATACAAAACTGACCAGAATAGGGCATTGCATTAATGGGGTAGTATATAAATTTAAGAAATAAATAATACATGAATAACTCTATTCAGTGATGACAGAATAGGACTGTGATTGAGCAAGAAGTTGAAACCTGTCTCCCAAGTATTTTAATATGCATTATCCCTTCCTTGGGAACATTGCTACAACATTCCACACAGACTTTTGGTGTGTTTTTTTAAAATGCAAAATTGATATGGAAGCGAGACAGAGCACATTGCAGAAATGAAAACTGAACGAAAGCGAAATAGATTGCTCATGTGTATTTAACCTCAATATTCAAACCAGAGTAGTTCCTCTTCTTTTTTTTTAACCTAAAGGCACCAACTATTTTCTAGTTCAAACTGATCCTGTAAGAAGCATAAAGGCTCCCCCGCCCCTATTCATTTATTTCAACAAGAAATAAAATCTGTACAAATTAATCTCTGGAGAACTTCTTGAAGAGGTGTTAAAGGTCCTGCTGGCTAGTTTTTAACTGAACAAATCTGTATTTCTCTCTTGCAAATTAAAAAGTAAGCAAAAGATCTGAATAAAATATCTAATTCTGACTAAAAGTAGTAAGAGAGAATTTAAAAAACACTGAGATCTACAGGAGGGGAATTTGCTCTCTTCGCCTAAGAAACTTTTCTTTCTCTGAAGAAAGAAATATGTATAATTTTTTTTAAAAAAAATGCATATTAAAATATAATTCATCTGGTTATTTGGAAATGAAGTCTGAGACAAATTAATTCCGCTGGGTTTTATGAAGTCATCTTCATTATAACTTAGACATCATACCAATAAATATCCTAAAGGCACTGACATGTATAAAAGAAAATGAAGAAGAAGAAGAAATACAGCCAAGGAGTGGAAAATCCTACAGGCAATTGCTTGCTTTGAAGAAAGATGTTAAAAGGAAAAAATATCTACAATCAGATTACAGTGAAGCAGAAACCACTCAAAGCAAGACCATTATAGCCATGTAGCAAATCAGAACAAAACTTAGTCATATTTTGGTAGACATGACACAAAGCTAACTAGAACTGTTAGGAACGTAGTAGCTGAAATCCTGTTTCTAAGCACAGTAAATTGCACTAGAGTAGGCCCATTGAACTTATGAGTCAACTCCTCCATACATTCCATTGATTCAAAAGGACCTACTCTTTTCGCAGCTTACTTTGATAAAGTAAGTCAGAACTAAAGCAACCCCATTTCAATCCATGTAATTTACAGAGGATTTGATTTACCAAATCATTCAAATTTACCACTGATTCAGTACACTACTGTAATGTGACTTGCTATGTTAAGCAACAGGATTTCAGCCATTAAGTTCTCTGGTGGATAAGGTTCAGCTTCCAGTGGCTAACCAGATACCATAGAAAATTCACAAGGAGGACATGTGGGTCAAAGTCAGTACAAAATGTAGAAACCATTTGGCACTGGCTCATAACTTGCCCCTGACCTAAATTCAAAGTCATGGTTGGGATATCTGAAGGACTCCCTCCTTTCCTCTCAGCCTGTCCAAAATCTGAGATCTTCAGAGGAGGATCTGTTCTGAAGTTCACAACCCCAACAGGCATTCTCCTATAGCAGGACCTTCGTTGTGGCAGTTCCTTCTGAGGGATGTGAAGCTCACTCCATACTCTCAAGCTTCCAGCAGTAGCCGAAATGTTTACCTTTGGTTTTTAAAACTGGTTTCCAAAAATACAGTGGTGCCTCGCTTAACAGCGATAATCCATTCCAGGAAAATCGCCGTTAAGAGAAAACATTATAAAGCAAAAATAAAATGCCCAGTGGGCTTAAAGCTCACCGTCCAGCGAAGATCCTCCATACAGCAGCCATGTTCGCTGCCTGTATAGCAAGGAATCCGTCCCTAAACACAGCGGGGAGCCATTTTATTTACCCGGTGGCCATTTTGAAAACGCTGTTGAAAAATCATCATTTTGCGAAGAATCGGTTCCCAAAGCAGGGAACCGATCATCGCAAAGCGAAATTCCCCCATTTAGACCATCGTTTTGCAATCATCGTGAAGCGGATGTGTCATAATGCAGGGCAATCGTAAAGTGAGGCACCACTGTAGTTTTTTAAAAAATGGCTTCTAATCTGTTCTTAAAGGATGCATTTATTTGTTTTACTGTACATTCTTTCCAGAGCCTAGTGGACAGAAAACCGAGCAACGTGGTAGCAGCTTGACTCTGTTTTGTCTGTCGGTGTCCTTTTATTTTCTCTGTTCACAATCTCCGATCATTCAGCTTCAATGGCTTCTCCCCATTTTTAATGTTAGGAGAAAGATAAAGTATTCTCCTTCTCTCTGCCCTCCCCAGTCTCCTAGCCTGTGCAAAATAACTGGGAGTTTTATCGGTGCCCTTTCTCACTGTGGAAAATTAAGTAGAACTGGAAAGACAGTCCTTGAAGAAAACGCCAACTAAGTCGAAGCTGAGTGTTCTCTTCCTTTACCACAGATGTTTGCAGGAAGATGGGTGAACCAACCACACTTGTCACTGCTTGCTGTGCTTTTATGACTCCTAATAGCAGGTGTGGAGGGAGAGAAGGCAAGGAAGAGGGGATAGCAGTTCAACACAGAAGGTGTGGAGAAGCAGCTTTGTAGTGCTTTCTGCTCCTTATTTAGATACAGTGGTAAATGCTGAGCTTTCAGTGGTGCAGCTGGCCTCAACAAGGAGCAGAATGGATAGTCTATCTAATAGAATCTCCTGCACACATGTTTCTCAGTTGTTGGTATCCACACCACCATCGGGACATGGAAATAGTTTAGATGGGATGCGGAAATTTCATAACAATTAATAATTACTGTTTTATAGTTTTCAAGTCTTGTCTTCACCAAAATATTTCTCAGCTTTTGCTGTCAAGAAGGTCCCTGGGTTAAAGAGCTTGCAACTGTTCCTTGAGTAAATTCTGGGTGTTGTGGTTCAAAAGAAGTAACAGCTCCAAGGGCTGAATGGATAGTCTCCCTGCTAAACCTAACTGTTGGCCATCTCTCCATTACTGGAAGACCAGGGCCAAAAAGAGTTCATTAGAAACCCCATGCAACCAACTGATTTGGGGCTTAGGGTCGCTTTGTGAAACATTCATGTGTTTGAACTGTGACACCTTATCAGTAGTGATAACATCTCTTGCTTCTTATTTTACCCCTAGGCTGTACGTAGACGGTCCCTTTGGGAGCCCCTTTGAAGAATCCTTCAATTACGAGGTTAGCCTCTGTGTGGCTGGAGGCATTGGAGTGACTCCATTTGCATCTGTCCTCAACACCCTGCTGTATGTAAGCCTCATCGAGTCAAACCTTCTTCCAGTCCTGCTCCCAAGATTTATACGTTTCCCCTCCCCCACTCCCAGATATGCTTTACGGCAGTGGAATGGTCAAGAGAATGGGCCATGATTTGAAGAGGGTCTCCATAATATCAGAGCTTGAAAAAGCTGCTTTTAAAAGTAATTATGGTCCTACAGCATCAGCAATGTAGTTATTTCACTGCATTGTTTCAATTTCCAGGGTATTTCTACAGTTATTTATTTATTTATTTACATGACCACTCTAGGCAGCTTACAGCATGAATGAAATACACATAAAATATGCAGATAAATATAAAATGTTTCCATAGTGAACAATAAACAAAATCCAACAAGACGGAAAACAAACAGTTACTGTTTTCCGCAAAGCAGCTCAGTCATTGTTAGCTTTTGAGTTGCTTTTCAAAAACTTCTGGATGCTACAAAGTCAGAATTGTAGCAACGAAACAGGAATCAACACAAAAGAATATGCTGAAAAGCCAATTCTCCCACCCCAGCGACAGTCTACCTTGCACACAGAAAACAACTTAATCAAACCGATATTTTCATGACTCCAACCTGGTTCTCTAAAAGCAACTTCACAGCTACAGTTACACCACAGAAAGAGTTATGCTACCCCTCATGAATTTACCATGAGGTAAATTTAATTACATTTCATAATGTAATTAAATTCTATCTTGATGGTTGTGAAAATGAATGAATTCTCTCTATCTTTTTTTGGTAAGTTTTCGCTTCCAAGCTCTAGGTAATATTAAACTCTGCAATAAGGAGAGCTTTATTTGCCAAAGGGCTTACTAGCTTAAGTTCTAAGAGTGTATATGAGAGTAATAGAAGGAAAGTAAGGAAAAGAGCAGGGCTAACAGAAGATGGGATTAGCATCTGCTAATGCAATTACACATTCTTTGGCTCTCCTTCAGTTAAGAGTCAGACCAGATTGGCATTGTCAAGGGGTCTGCCAAGCTTTCATCTACATCAGTGGTTCCCAACCTTGGGTCCCTAGAGGTTCTTGGACTAAAACTCCCAGAAGCCTTCCCCACTAGCTGTGCTGGCCAGGATTTCTGGATGTTGTAGTCCAAGAACATTTGAGGAGCCAAAGTGGGGAACCATTGAGCTATATAACTCTACCTTTCCTCTGTGTCTCCAAAGGAGGTGACAAAATTCCCTTGAAATTATCCTCTCTAGGATGCAATCCTGTCGCACAACTTTATGTCGCACAACTATGATGCCGTCTTCACCTGCAGCCATTTAGGGGGAATTAACATTTCCGGTATAGCCCCTCCCCTCCCAGGATCTCTTCCAAGCCTTTGAGAGGTGCTGAATGGCGGAGATGAATCATGAATGCCCCAAAACGACCCCCCCAGTGGTTTTATTTATTGTAAGCTGTCATACATTTCAATAGGAGAGTGGTTTCCTTTCTCCTTGTTGTTGTTCCTCTTCTGCTGGAGGCTGGGCACCATCACGGCTCTCCTGACCTTGGAATGCTTCCCTTCCAAACAATTACATTGCATTGTATCTAAAATAGTCTCCCAGGTTTTTCATCCAGTAAATTCTTCTTCCCGTTGCACATACAGTGGTGCCCCACATAGCGACGATAATCCGTTCCGGATAAATCGTCGCTATCTGGAATTGTCGCTATACGGGGCAAAAACTCCCATAGGAACGCATTAAACCCTGTTTAATGCGTTCCTATTGGGGGGAAAACTTACCATTATGCAAAGATCCTCCATACGGCCGCCATTTTCGCCGCCCCGGTAAGCAAGGAAACTGCGCAAAAACGCTGCGGGCGGCCATTTTCTTCACCCGGCAGCCATTTTGGAACTGCCGATCAGCTGTTTAAAAACATTACAATGCGAAGATCGGTAAGCAAAATGCTTACCGATCATCGCAATGTGATGTTTGCCCATTAAGAACATCGCAATACGATCGCTTTTGCGATCGCAAAATCCGCATCGCTATGCAGATTCGTCGTTAAACAGGGCGCTCGTTATGCGAGACACCACTGTATTTGCCTATTCATTTTAACAGTCTCTATTTTCTGATTCTCCTTATGGAACCAAAGCTTTCTGCATTTTGTGTGTTTTATTATTTCTTGGCCTTTATTCATTTGCCTTTACATTTCTTTGTTGGCCACCCTTCTGATCCAAGAGATCCTTGTGAAGGCTTAGGCCAAATAAAACTGTGTCGTCCATAAGGTGCCATAAGGTGCCATAAGGTTTCCACCCCTGGGTCTCCAGATGGTCTTAGACTAAAACTCCCAGAACCCTTCGCCACGCTAGCTATGCTGGCCAGGATTTCTGGGAGTTGTAGTCCAAGAACATCTGGAGACCCAAAGTTAGAGAAATTAAGTTGTTTTTGTCTGAGCCGAGGTTTTCTGGGGTGGACCTTTTCTGGAGCAGGTTAAAGCAAGTGGGTTTTTCCACCCCTGGGTCTCCAGATGGTCTTAGACTAAAACTCCCAGAACCCTTCGCCACGCTAGCTATGCTGGCCAGGATTTCTGGGAGTTGTAGTCCAAGAACATCTGGAGACCCAAAGTTAGAGAAATTAAGTTGTTTTTGTCTGAGCCGAGGTTTTCTGGGGTGGATCTTTTCTGGAGCGGGTTAAAGCAAGTGGGTTTCAGACTGGGGTCCTCAGATGTTCTTGGATTGCAACTCCTAGAAATCCTAGCCAGTGCAGCAAATGGTGAAGACTTCTGGGAATTGCAGTCCAAGAACCTCTGGTGGTCCTAGTTTGAGAACCACATGGTTAGTGCAGAGGGAAAGGGCTTAAAGTCCAACCGAGCCTTCCTCCTCCCTTATATCTGCCCCACATCGGATGCTGCAAGAAAGCATTGCCGTTTCTTAGCTAAAGACTACCAATTGCTACAGATAAACATTGCAACTGCCTCTGTGCCACAACCTGCTTTTGCTGCTCAGAAGACTTGTTGCAGTTTCACATCTGTACCTTCTGAACAGGAAATGTTACCACTAAAAAAGGGGGGTAGACTATTGCATTCCATTTTCTATTGCATTTTCTTTTTTTTCCTTTCAATTCTTTTTGTCTTGAGTATGGAAGAATTCACAAATTCAGATACATTTGCATCCAAAACAAACATAAATGTATTTCTTACCCACCAGTAGATGGGCTGCCGCTACTGTACTTGATAGCTGAGTAAATCATACTTCTCCATGCGAAGTAGCTTTTTAAAAGTGCTAGCGTTAAAGGTGGCTTTTGAAAAGTGGAGTAATTCATACTGTTTCCTGTGCATTAGCCTTACCTACGTGAACTGCTGAAATCTGAAATTGCAGCTGGGCTTAGTAACCAGTGTGTGATTTTTAAAGGGTTGTTATTTCTGATTTCCTCCCTCCAACATGACCTGGATGTGAAGTGATGGCTGGGAAGGCTACAAGCTAAGGAGGCTTTACTTCATATGGGTGTGCAGGGACGTCCAGTCGTTCTGCTGGTTTGCTGATCTGCTCTGCCAATTGCACGACAAGGTAACGCAGGGCTGGGCCTGGCGGGACTGCTCTGTTGGAGTGTCTGAGAGATCCTCAGTCCTTTTGTTAAAACCTTGTAAAGGCTGCCAGTTGGGCACTTCGGCTCTTTCTAAACCCAGGTGGTCTGAAGTCTGTGGCGCTTGGTTGTGAGCTGATCTGTTTATTTATTATGTATTTATTAAATTTCTCCCTGGCCCATCTGGTGACAAGCTACTAGATGACCAAAATCCTATTGTCAGTGCAAAACTGTTGTTCTTACTACTTTTACAGTAGTACAGTGGTTTTGCTTGGTGCTACTACAAGCTACTAGATGACCAAAATCCTATTGCTTATGTATACAGATGCAAGTACAGTAGGGCCCCATATGTGCGGAGGATCAGTTCCACCACCCCAGTGGATGCTGAAAAACTGCAGATTATAGCAAACACTATACTACATAGCATGGCCTTTGGCTCTGTCTAGTGGCCAGTTCTGGTAATGACATCATAGAACTATATTTCTCTTGCAAATGATATACAGTGATGCCTCGCAAGACGAATGCCTCACGCAATGAAAAACTCACAAGACGAAAGCATCTTGTGATATATTTTTTGGTGACTTGCAAGACAAATTTTTCTATGGCCGTGCTTCACAAGATGAATAGGAATGCATTAATTAAATTTCAATGCATTCCTATGGGAAACCACGCTTTGCAAGATGAAATTTTCGCAATACGAAACGACTCGCGGAACAAATTATTTTCGTCTTGCAAGGCATCACTGTACATGACTTGCTCTCTGGTTCTTCTAGTGGCCAGTTCTGGTAACTTCAACTTTAGAAATAGGTATTTCTAGGATTTCCTTTTAATATTTTTAATATTTTCAGACCATGAATCACTGGATATTGATGCTTCTGATATGGGGGTCCTACTGTATAACGGTGTAAATCTCAATGGTAAATAGAAAGCAGTCATTGTATTTCCTGTTCCACAGCAGTTCCATGATGTGGCATGTGGGAAGAAATATCAAAGCTTAGCAGTAGCAATTTGCCACTTAAACTTCTGTTACTGGCATAATTATTCAACTGGCTGCTTATCAATATGTACATGTTTGTACAATATCTGTGCAAAACTGTTGTTCTTACTACTGTTACAATAGTACAGTGGTTTTGCTTGGTGCTACACCCAGCCACAGGAAAGTGAACATCTCTTACTCTAAAGCAAATTTCTTGGGAAAAAACTGGCTAAAACAGTGAAAATACTTAAAGTAATGGAACAATAGACACATATTTCCTTCTTTGTCCTTTAAGTAGTTAATGCAGAAACATGCAAACAGACTAATACACAATCTTAGACAAGTGACTTTTTTCTGTCTGTAAACTATAATCAGCATTAAAGGTTATCCACTCCCAATTCTTCAACTGCACATTTTAGCTTGATCAGAAGAGAGATAATACATGTGTAAGCTTAATGGGTAACATGGAAACATGATGGATTAGAAGAGTCATCTCTTCTGGGGGATTTAGCAATAATATCTTTGTTCCTACTTAAGAAAAGATGTACAGGTTCATTTAATGTATTTTTCCTCTCCCCCTCTTCCTCCTCCTCCTCCTCCTCCTCCTCCTCCTCCTCCTCCTCCTTCTGGTGATGCTCAATAATCTCAGCTCTGGCAAGAAAACCGACCAGACTTTATCAATATCCAGCTGTATCTTAGTCGAACACATGGGATCCAGGTAGGCAGAGCGTGGGAACTACGAATAAGTAGTAAATCCTAATTCATTCCTATTTACAATAATGGAGGTTTTACTGATTGATTTCATTGGATTCAATAGCTCACAGCTATAATTAATAAATCCTGCAGTCAAAAGACAAAACAGGGTCAAAGATTTAACTTGAAATTAAATTATAGACACGATAGAAAACAATCTGGAAGTTGAGTCATGGCAACTGGATTTCTTTCTTATTAGGCTGAAACATTTCACTACTGATCCAAGTAGCTTCTTCAGAGACAGAAAACAATCAAAAACATAGTTTAATTGAAAACATAGTGCTAGGGAAAAACAGCTCCCTAAACCATATTCAGGGATGTGGTGGCGCTGCGGGCTAAACCGCAGAAGCCTGTGCTGCAGGATCAGAAGACCAAGCAGTGGTAAGATCGAATCCACGTGACGGAATGAGCTCCCGTCGCTTGTCCCAGCTCTCGCCAACCTAGCGGTTCGAAAGCATGCAAATGCAAGTAGATAAATAGGAACCACCTCGGTGGGAAGGTAACAGCGTTCCGTGTCTAAGTCGCACTGGCCACGTGACCACGGAAGATTGTCTTCAGACAAATGCTGGCTCTATGGCTTGGAAACAGGGATGAGCACCGCCCCCTAGAGTCAAACACGACTGGACAACAATTGTCAAGGGGAACCTTTACCTTTACCTTAAACCATATTCAGAAGCTTTCCTGTACAGTAATACCTCTCTTAGCATTCAGGGTGCATTCCAAGATAATGGAACCCTAACTCAGCACTTAGCTGGCTCATTTTAACATTATACCATATAATAGGAGTTCTGGAAGCCCAATCCAATTCCAGTGTGGCAGTTAGTCTAGACCCCGGGTCTTCCAGAAGTCCAGTCTACCTCTGTCAGGTAGCCTGAGGATTTACTGAGTGCTACAAAACTTCAGCCCAAGCCTGTGTGCTATAACAAATTAGCGCTAAATGGGGCTGTGTTGTACTGTGTATTACTGTATAAAATGTGGGATATCTTTATTCCTTTTACAATGTAAATGTAACTTATTAGTTCCTTTTAGGTACAGCAGGGTGGTAAAGTGGGAATGTTCCATACTTCAAGTGCTGGCTCGTGCTACTTCCTTGTGCTTTCTCGTGAGTTATTGAGGCAATAGTGAGATGGGTTGTAGGAGAGTGCATTTTATAGTACAGGACAGTAGCTTGTAGCATATGGATGCCATTTTAAAAGAGTAATTTTTTTAAAAAAAGTATTCTAGTTACGTTTGAGAAACCAGAAGACGAAGTGTTTGCATGTAATAGATTGTAACTATGATAATAATGGAATTCTAAAGAGAGCCCTTGAATTATAATGCTCACTAATTGCTTTTAGAAAGTAATTCTCTGATCTCAGTAGGTTTGTGGGGAAATGGAGTTTGTACTGTGGAGGGATATTTTGTAAGGTATCTGAAAACTGTCATGGCAAAAAAATAAGGAAGGAAAACCCTGACCCAGACTGTCTCTATGATGATGCAGGTAGTGGTCGATCAGGTAAGGACATTACCAGGTTCTGTCAGCTGGCCTCCAATGGCTTCTTCTCAAGCAAGATCTTAAGATCTTCTCAAACAAGATCTTAAGAGGAATGCATATTGCCATCTTATTATTGTAACCGTGGGATTTCTTGGGAATTACATGCCTTAGCATTCCAAATGCAAATTAAGCCTGTGTTTACTTTACAATAACCAATCACAGCGCACATCGTGCTAAAGGCAAGATACAGAGGTGAGGAAGAACATGTAGTAATGACAAGCAGACATCTTTCATCATTTGAGAGAGAGCATCTCTTCTAGGTCCCTGCCAAACAAATCATTCCAACGTTGCCCAGAAAATTGCACCAACTATTCCAGCTCACCATGGCAGGTGTAGCAACTTTTTAAAAAACCTTTCAACCTGGGCTAAGGCTGAAACTCCCAGGGTAACATCTGCATTTCCATCTGCATTCTTCTGGGTGGGCACTAGGCAGCGGTCTTCGGGTTGTTTCATATTGTGAAGAAATGTGCCAGAATGAGATCTGACATGGTGCGTAGTGGATGGAGTATTGGACAAAACTTGGAAGTCCCAGGCCAAGATGTTTTGTTGTCCAAGACAAGGAATGTGATTCTTCTCCCCACCCCCTTCCCTTTGTTGTTGCCTCCCAGGATCAGCCCCCTGAGACAAGTACTCCAGTGTGCGTAATGGTAGGATCAGTTCTGCATAAGCAAACACACATACATCCTAGTGCTGTGGCAGGGATAACTGAAACCCATTAAGCTTCCCCTAAGACATTTGGTGTGTACATAAGATTTGATGTGCCAAGTGGTCAGTGATTGATCTTCAGCAATTTCCGAGGTGCCGCAGAGGGAATGTCTCTTGCTGTCTTGCAGAAAATAATTGGAGAGAAATACCGAGTGCTCAACCGCCGGCTTTTCATGGGGCGGCCTCGCTGGAAACTTCTCTTTAACGAAATCGCCAAGTGCAACAGACAGTAAGTAAGATTTTCCCCCAGCCCAGCTTGTGTGGCAGGCTTTTTGAACGGTGGGAATCGGGCGAGTTTAATAAACCGCAGTTGTAGCGGGAATGACTTTTGGCTTAACGTCATCATTTAATGCCAAAGTTACCTGATGGTTGGTGTAATCTAATAAGTTGCATCTGAGAAACAGGGGCTTGAACAAAGGAACTGTCAGCTTTCATAATCAGAATGGTTCATCTTCTGGGCAGCTAGGAGCAGAAGGAGATGTTTTGCACATTTTCATAACAGGCATAGAGATGCAGTATCTTATTATTTCCATGTGAGTGCCCTATTTGCAATTTTTCTGGGGTATTTCCCCCCCCCAAGAGATGCTTTATTTGTCATTGTAGTTTGTCACATCTAAGAGATGTGAGAAATAATGTAATTCCACGGCACAAGGACCCCCAAAGCTTTTTGGGTGCAGGATTTCTCAGAGCCTGAAAAAGGTATTGGACTACAATTCTGAGAATAGCTATGCTGTTGGAGGGATTCTGGCAATTATCGAAGGAGAGAAACTTTTTCAAACTCTGTTCTCCGCCCTCCCAAAAGACTGGTGATCATGCCAGTTGGAAGTCCCTTTGGCAGGGTTGGGGGGAAGCGGTGCGTTGGAGTAAACCCAACTTGCTTTCCAAACCACTAACTGGCACAACACAAAAGCTCCTTGCATACAGGGGTGCACCATTATGTGGAACACATCACCCTTTGAGAGTGCAGGGTTCACTTTCTGTTACAGGGAAGGAGTGGTTCTGGACATGTACAGGGCCTAATGGCTGTAGGATTGTAGGAGTTTTTAGAAAGAAAACACATTTGATTTCCTTCCTACTGGGAATGCCTGGGCCAAAGTAACAATGAAGTTCTCAAAATATCTTTTTTTTAAAAAAATCCAGTTGATTGTTCATATAGAACAGCGAACACTCCCATCTTTCTGTTAGAGAGACCATAATTATGTTCATGTTGTGTTTTCCCCACACCTATTCGGGAATGGTTTCTGTGTTTGTGTGCGTGTGTGTGAGCGTGCTTCAGTGGGAACACTTTCTTGGGAAGAAAATGCTCTTAACCTAAGTCAATTTCTTTTCTGCCAGTCTTCTACAGATGTGACAGACTACAGTTCCCATCTCCTTTTGCCTTTGTTGGCTGGGATGGTTGCAAGTTGGTGCATAACACCATTTAGTTATTTGCTTAGATAGTATTTATACCATGCCCTGGATCGCAATATCTTAGGGCAGGGTACAGACAGAAGCAATTTAAAGGACTGAAAAACAACTTGAAGTATATAAAGCAATTGTATCAAAAAGCTGTTGCGCAACACCGTTTGCCCAACAGGAATGATGTCATACTCTGTGCCAAATTGGCACTGCTCATAACTCATGCATCCTGGAATTGGCAAAGGAAACCTTTTTTGTTGTTTAGTCATTAAGTCGTGTCTGACTCTTCGTGACCCCATGGACCAGAGCATGCCAGGCCCTCTTGTCTTCCACTGCCTCCCGGAGTTGGGTCAAATTCATGTTGGTTGCTTCAATGACACTGTCTAACCATCTCATCCTCTGCTGTCCCCATCTCCTCTTGCCCTCACACTCCCAAGGTCTTTGTCCCCTTCTCCTCTTGCCCTCACACTTCCAAGGTCTTTTCCAGGTCTTTTCCAGATGGCCAAAGTTTTGGAGTCTCAGCTTCAGGATCTGTCCTTTAACCAACACCAATTTACTGCTATTGAGGATGTTGTTCTCCTTGTGCAGCCAGATGGTTTCGAAATAATAATAATCATGTGCCCTAAATTAATTTTGACATATAAGATATGACTCGGACGTGGTTTACTGTTCTTTTCTGGGGGTGCCCTGGGACTGTGCAGCTTGCCCAAAAGCCACACAGGCTGGCTCTACTTTGCAGGAGGCACAGCGGGGAATTGAACTCTCAACCTCTGGTTCTGCAGCCAGATGTCTAAACCATTGAACTATCCAGCCTGCAGATGATTTCAACCAGAATATAACTGAAAGCGTTTAAAATCATAGAGCTTCATTCCACACAACATATGCATGTTCCAAAATTTGCAAGTTTCTTCATGTCTGGAGTGGAAGAAACCAGGAAGGTTTAAAAAAAAAATGAAACATTTTTTAAAATGTGAAAGAAACTGAAATTTGTATGATTGTTCATCCAGGATCAGAGCTTAACTCTGAATGCTTAACTCTTAAAAGTCAAAACCTGAATCTTGTTCAAGCAGGCATGTCTGCTCTGAATTAAAATGATCAATTTCTTTTTTTTTTTCCCCTGAAAAGCTTCTCATCTTTTACACCTTTATGGTAGAGAAGAACATTATGGTCTTCTCCATGCTGAGAAAAGCTTGAACCAGACCTGTGCAGATGAGTGAAAATATTGTTTTAATTGGTTGTTGAAGAAATTGTGGAAAGGCCTAAATCATATCTCAGACAGAGATTTAAAAATGTCAAAGGGGAACAGAACCATTTTATGGATTTTCTGATCCCTAGTTTTGAGGGCATGCCCGTTGTGGTGTAGTGGGTAGTGTGGTGGACTAAGATTCAGGACCCCTGGGTTCAATGCAGGCTACACATTGCCCTCCCCCCCCCCCAGCAAACTGGGTACCCAAACCACTTCTTAAATATCTCATCTACCTTGAAATCCCTTTTGGGGTCACTGTAAGACGGTTCCACCTTGACGGCACATAACAACAGCAGTTTTGAGGGCAATCTTTAGAAAGTGTCCTCTGACTGAGCTCTTTCTGCACTCCTAGACTTCTCCTGGAAAGGGGCCAAGAGTTGCAGTTTGAATAAGTTCCTATTCTAATGCTTCTCCCCAGGATCGCTGGGATGCCTTTCTCAGGAACAGGTCCAATGTTGGCAAGGTGGCTGCGTTAGTCTGTTGCACTAGGGGGGAAAAAAATACTAGAACTTTCAGGTTTTTGGACGCCACCACATTAATGGTGGTGTGAGCTTTCTCAGGCAAGGATCGCCATCAGATCCCGGCCGTGAAAGCTTTCGAGAATACGCTCAAGTGAAAGGATGGTGAAAACAAACCCCCTGTTTGGTGGGTCTAAATGAGACTGGGTAACTGGCCCAAGGTCAGCCTGTGATTTTCATGGCAATGTGAGGGTTTTAGTCTTGGGATGCCCACTCCCAGTTCAGCTCCCTAATTTTTATATGTGGTCTCATACTCTTGTGTTTTTTGTAGTCCTCTTAGTACCATAGGTCAGTGGTCCTCAACCTCGGGCCTCCAGATGTTCTTGGACTTCAACTCCCAGAAATCCTGGCCAGCAGAGGTGGTGGTGAAGGCTTCTGGGAGTTGTAGTCCAAGAACATCTGGAGGCCCAAGGTTGAGGACCACTGCCATAGGTTGTATTGATGCCTTCATGGAAGGTCTTCGATGGAAGAGGCACGCAAGCATTGTAAGTCAACTGTGAGCCTGTCTATGGGCGGTGGTGAAGTTATATGGGTTTCTCCATAGCCCAGTTCTGAGGCTTCTTCCAGTCGAAGCCTATGGGGACTGAATCACAAGAGAAGAGAAATCACAAAGACAAAGATGCATCCCAAAATGTTGTCATTCTATAAGTTCTCCATTCTCCTGATTTCAGTAGACTCCGACCTTCTCAACTGGCTGGGGAAGAAAACATTCTGCCCTGTTCTTTCCCCGTAACTGAGATGGAATCAGTAGAAATGAGCAGCGCCCATTATTGCTGCTTTACTTTCCTGTTCATCTCGCTTAGCTCGAGGTTAGATTGAGAAATGTTTTTATTTTATTTTATTTTATTCTTATACTTTTTAATTAATATAACAAAGGTCTACTCTATCTAAACCATTGAGCTATCTAGCCAGCGCTAGTCCTTAAGATAGTATAGTATTTTTTCTTAGTTTTTGTTTTCTCTGAAGCAGACTAACAACGCCACCTTTCTGGAAAGTATTATTTCCTCATTATTTTAGTCCTATTTTTATCAACAGTAACGGACACTAAAATAGTAAAACATACATACGCTCATACCTTGGCTCAACCATTTCTGGCATTCTCTCCCTAGATGTCGAGCTGGATAAATGCTTTGGCAAAGCAGCACTATCTATCTATCTATCTATCTATCTATCTATCTATCTATCTATCTATCTATCTATCTATCTATCTATCTATCTATCTATCTATCTATCTATCTATCTATCTATCTATCTATCTATCTATACACAGACACACACACATATATCTATCTGTCTATATATATCTATATCAATGATAGATAGATAGATAGATAGATATGTTTCATCTATATAATCTCTCTCTCTCTCTCTCTCTATCTATCTATCTATCTATCTATCTATCATCTATCTATCTATCTGTGACAGCCTCCTCTCACGTCACAAAGGAGCTGCCACGTCACTCTCACACCCTCACTTTATTCATGCTGCCACCAACCATTCCCTCATAAAACTCTTCAGACAAAAGTATGATTTTTAAAATAAAAACTTATGTTTATTTATAATAACAAAAGGAATGGTAAATCACTATAATAATTAAAATAAAAGGCAATCAGTATAATAAAGTACCCACACACATACTCTCTCTCAGACCTTCACTCTCTATATATAGCACAGTACTGCACAACATGTACAAGCCCTAACTCCCTAAGTCCCTAACCAGACCCTATCAAGTCCCTATCTGATTCACACCTCATTCACTCTCCCTTAAATACCCTAGCTCCACCCTCTTATGTCCCACCTCCCGTCACGCTATTGGCAGATGACAAACAACCATAGCAATGACGGGCAGATGACATAACCGTTACTGTAACACTATCTATCTATGTGTGTGTATATATATATACACACACGCACAGAGTGATGCCTCGCATAGTGATCGCTTCGTTTAGCGATGAAATTGCTTTGTGACACATTTTTTGCGATTGCAAAAGCGATCGCTTTGCGATGTTCCCTATGGGGGAATTTCTCTTTGTGATGCTCGGTTCCCTGCTTCGGAAACCGAGCATCGTAAAGTGACAATTTTTAAACAAGTGATCGGTGGTTTCAAAATGGCCGCTGGGTAAACAAAATGGCCACCCGCTGTGTTTAGGGACAGATTCCTCGTTTAAGAGGCAGCGAAAATGGCCGCGCTATGGAGGATCTTCGCTGAACTGTGAGTTTTAAGCCCATAGGAATGCATTAATCGCGTTTTAATGCGTTTCTATGGGCTTTTTAATATCGCATAGCGACGTTTTCGTTCTGCAGCGATTTTTGCGGAACGAATTAATTTCGCTCGTTGAGGCACCACTCTGTGTGTGTGTGTGTGTGTGTGTGTTTCATATGTTTCATCTTAATTTATATCATGTGCCCCATCTATTTCTAAAATACTGTATAATGATTCTTGTGTTGGAGTATAACCTTTAGGTTTTGTAAATATATATTCTATATAAGGGTGGGTTCCAGATTCCATTAAAACTGTTTTCTTTCAATAATCCTTTCTAACTTCCAGTTCACAAGTTAATTTATCATCAATAGCTGGATTCCACGTCTCATTATAGCATTCTTCCAACATCAATCGATGATTATAGATTGAGGGATGTGACTGGTGCAAGACTTCCTTCAGAATTCATTTGGCCTTTTCCTGGTCATGCTCAGCACGAAATATCTCTCACCTGCTCCACAGGTTGTCTGTCCCTAGAGGCAAAATGCCTCGCTCTCTCTCATGGTACAGCCAGCTCTGCTTAGACATTATCCCAGCAGCCGTTCCTGTCCTCCTTAATAAGTGCAGACTATGGCTGTTAAGCAGTGGCATGGAAGACTGCTAGGTCACAATTTGTTTCTGGTGTCATCTCTTTCCAAAATTACTGAAGATTAATAAGTAGTTGCAGATATTAAGGCAAAAGTGCTGTGGAATTCTAAAAAGCTAAGGTCTGTAGTTTTTCCAAAACACAAACAGAAAGAGAGACAGAGAGACTTCTGCAGAAATACAGCAACTAAACAAAACAGGAGAAAAACCAAAGGAAAGTGTATGCTGTAATTCAACAGCTTGTTGATTAATCTTCATCACTGCGTAGAATGGATTCACAAACTTGTTTGCTAGTAGTGGGATTTTTTTTTTAAAATAGGTCTTTTTCAAAACTGACAGTAACAAGATAAGAACATCTGGCTTTGTCGGTGTCTGCACCATCGCACATAAAAACAGTCCTGCCAGCACTGAACGGATTGTTAATTGTGACTTTCCCACAGGAGATTATGGATGCAAGACCTGTGGTAGACTCCATCAATCCAGGATTAGGCTCCTCTAGCAACAGACCATTTAGACTAATTAGAGCACTCCAAAAGGGAAGCTGGAAGCAGAGTGGTGGACAGCTGCCAAGACACTGGTGCATTATGCAATCAACCCGATAGAGGTTTCCGTGGATGTGTTATGTAACGTGTGAAGACATTCGGTTGTCTGTTTTTTTAAAAAATGAAACCAAACAAGCTTCTGGTTGGGTGATGCCTGACGGGCAAAGAGATTTGAGACCTGTGGCAAGAGAGTTGGAGGATAGTACTGACCCAACGTGCAGCAGCTGTGGAAATAAAAATGTGAATTCCACGCTTGGGTTCATGAAGAAAAGGGTTGCAAATAAAACAGCTGATCCATAACACCTTTCTCCAAAGCTGTAAAGTGACCACACTCAGAGTAATGCATACAGTTCTGTTTGCTCCATCTCAGGAAGGGAAGGAGGAAAAATGATTATGGAGATGGAACAACCTCCCAGTGAGGAAAACATTTAGCTTTTTCAGCCTCAGTAGTTTGTACAAACAAGGGAGATAAGTTATGGGGGCAGTGAAGAGAGATGTGGCAGAGGTTTCTAAAATTAGTCTTGTGTTTAAGATATGGGTACAGGGAAGCTTTTCTTTGAAAACTTGTGAAATTGGATTCTATGAGCCTCAGGACAGACAAAAGAAAGTACATCTCCACCCTCTGCACAGTTTAATGACGTGCGGAAAGATCCAGTGGTGACCATCAGTGCAAGACTATGGAAACATTAGTTTGCAGTAGGTTTACAGAGCAGTATCTAGCCCCGCTCCCTCTGTCATTTTCTAAACATGGTGATTGTAGAGTCTGAGGTGACAGGTTGCTGCTGGCAGGTAGCCTCTACAAAGACACAAGACCCCCAGTTTTCCCGGGACCTTCCTCCTGTGTAGAACCAACATACAAGCAGGAATCTTTTCCCTCTTGAGTTGTTTGTTATGCATAGAAAACAGTGATGGAGGAGATAGTGCTACTATCAGCTCTGCTTCCAAGTATATACCGTTAGGTCCAGAAATAATTGGACAGTGACACAATTTTCATATTTCTGGCTCTGTACGCTACTAATGGATTTGAAATGAAACAGCCGAGAGGCGATTGAAGCACAGACTTTCATCTTTCATTCAAGGGGTTGAACAAAAATGTCGTATGAAACATTATACTTACCTACTTAATTGATGATGAAATAATGAAGGAATAGCCCATACCTGGTGCATGAAACAGCTTTTGAGTCAATTATCCAGTTACTTTTGGTCCCTTGAAAAAGAGAGTCTGCGTATTAAAGAGCTGCAATTCTTAAACCTTTCATCCAATTTGGACATGAGTATCCTCTTATGAAAAAGAGAGTCTGCGTATTAAAGAGCTGTAATTCTTAAACCTTTCATCCAATTTGGACGATAGTATCCTCTTGTTAGAGGACAAGATGGTTGGACAGTGTCACCAAAGCTACCAACATGAATTTGACCCAACTCCGGGAGGCAGTGGAAGACAGGAAGGCCTGGCATGCTGTGGTCCATGGGGTCACGAAGAGTCGGACATGACTTAGCGACTAAACAACAACAACCCTCAAAGCTGAGAGACTATACTTTAAGCCCATATTCATTATTTCACTGTAACATGAATTTATTTTGGTAAACAGCTGATATAATGAAATTTGTGTCAGTGTCCAAATATTTACGAACCTAACTGTGGATGAGCCTGGCATGCTGTGGTCCATGGGGTCACGAAGAGTCGGACATGACTTAGCGACTAAACAACAACAACCCTCAAAGCTGAGAGACTATACTTTAAGCCCATATTCATTATTTCACTGTAACATGAATTTATTTTGGTAAACAGCTGATATAATGAAATTTGTGTCAGTGTCCAAATATTTACGAACCTAACTGTGGATGAAAACAGGTGTACTAATGGCTGAATAGAGGGTCATTGTTTAGTCATTTAGTTGTGTCCGACTCTTGGTGACCCCATGGACCAGAGCACGCCAGGCCCTCCTATCTTATAGATATAAGATATATCTTATATAGAGGGTAGACAGCTCTAAATGTGGGGCAAAGAGATCCATAGAGGATGTCTACCAATGGGTATTTATTATCATTTCTGTAGACTGCCTGGGGGATTACAGGGAACATGCCTCCAAATACCACTCACTCTGATGCAGAAATATGAGATTGTTACTGCAGTGATGACTTGGCCACAAGCATCCAACAGGCAGCTAGTTAGTTGGCCACTGCAGAAACATAATTCTAGACCAAATTCTGTTTGGATGCCTGGGTGCTCTTGGACTGCATCTCCCAGAATTCCTGGCCAGCACAGCTATTGGTGAAGGCTTCTGGGAGTTTTAGTCCAAGAACATCTGGGAACCCAAGCTTTGGAACCACTAGTCACTGATTCAGCCACCAAATTCTTTTTAGTGTTGATGCCAGCTATTCATTTTGAGCCAGTACTAAGATTATCTGTCATCATATGACATCATGGCGGACACCCAACACCACCGAGAAAGCTATGCGGACTCCGTATGGAAGTGTCTTGTCACTTGATTGTCCACAGACGGCTCTTTAGTTATGCATTCTATTTATTTTTTTATTTTTTTATTTATTGGACTTATATACTGCCCCATAGTGCTACAAGCACTCTCTGGGCCGTTTACAATTTTTAATTATACAGGCTACACATTGCACCCCCAGCAAGCTGGGTACTCATTTTACCGACCTCGGAAGGATGGAAGGCTGAGTCAACCTTGAGCCGGCTACCTGGGATTTGAACCCCAGGTCGTGAGCACAGTTTTAGCTGCAGTACAGCGTTTTAACCACTGCGCCACGAGGCTCATAGAGTTTGATCTTTAATGGTGACACATTCCGTCTTTCCCCAACAGTTTTGAGGGACAGCAATGTGCTTGAGACAGCGCCACAAGCAGGTAGAAGAGGGAAGCAAGAATGAGTGTACCTGCATGGCACAGCAAGGAGATATAAATCTGGAGTGGGAAAGTGTCGTTACCTTTTGTCCATTCCTGTACTAAATTGTTGGATCTAGTGAGATACTGCCAGAAGTGCCCCAGATATTATAGCGGGGATATTCTAGAATCAGTAGTCCTAAAAAGTAACTTTACCAATGTCTTTTGCTTCTTGTGTGCACAACAAAATGTGCTAGAACAGATAAATTTGGTGAACTCCTTGCTTTTTTTAAAATATCCACAGAAAGACTATTGGTGTTTTTTGCTGTGGACCAAGTGGAATCTCGAAAGCTCTTCACAAACTGAGCAACAGCCTGTATTATGAATTTATTTTGGTAAACAGCTGAAATAACGAAACTTATGTCAGTGTCCAAATATTTACAAACCTAACTGTATATGGAAACAGGTGTACTAATGGCTGAATAGAGGGTAGACAGCTCTAAAAGTGGGCCAAAGAAATCCATAGAGGATGTCTACCAATGGGTATTTATTATCATTTCTGTAGGCTGCCTGGGGGATTACAGGGAAATGTGCTAGAACAGATAAATTTGGTGAACTCCTTGCTTTTTTTTTTTTTAATATCCGCAGAAAGACTGTTGGTGTTTTTTGCTGCGGACCGAGTGGAATCTCGAAAGCCCTTCACAAACTGAGCAATAGCCGCAATCTTTATGGGACAACATTTGAATACAACAAAGAATCCTTCAGCTGAAAGACTTGAAAATTTTATAAGGACTATCTGGAAGCCCCAATTGCAACTTGTTTTTTTTTTCTAAAGACGTCAAAGTTAGCAGCATTAGCTCTACAGCTTTGTACCAAAGGGTAGCAAATGTCCTCCTCTTAATTTATAACTATTTAAAACTTTTGGAAGCAGCAGAAAAAAATAAAACAGTCTATGAGCAAAAGCCTAAATGTCTTAGGAGCTGGTACAGGCTGATTTAGCAGCAGGCAATTAGAAAGAGGGATGTGCAATTGTTTATATGGCTGGTGTTAAGATCAATCCATGGAACACTTAAGATTTCTCCACCTAAAAGCTTCACATGCTAGAAAATGTCATTGATTGTATGAATGCTGGATTCATCAAGTTGGAGAAGAAAAATTGGATTGGAAGTTGGATTCTGCTCCATCTTGGCAAATAAATAAACCCGCTCTGAAAGAGAGATGCTTTGGATGCAACTGTTGAAGAAGGGACAGGTGGGAATGAAGACTTCTGTGTTATCCTGTGAGCATACTCTGCTGCAGGCACTTCTGTATGTAAAACAGCCGGTGGATCGCACCCACCCATGATGAGAATAAAAAAAGGCAAAATGTTTGTATTAATCAAAGCTACAGGTTTCTTTAATGCAAAACAAGTGATTAGCGAGGATGTTGCAAATGTGTTCAGGAGTCTGCTAATGTCAGGAAACACTATCCTACCTAGTGGCGTGTGAGGCTATCTGCACCTTATGTTGTTGTTTCAGCTTATATACTGCCACATAGTACTAAAGCACTCCAGGTTGTTTGCAACATTATTATGCAAATAATACTTCACACACACACACACAAGAGCCAACAAGTCAAGTACTCATTTTTCTGACCTTGGGAGAATCGAAGGCTGAGTCAACCTCAGGCCATCTCCATGAATCCATAGGGAGTGTGATCTTCTTCCATTGTCTCCTCCTTTGGCCACATCTTTCAGAAAGAGGCTGTCTTGAACATTAATTCGACTCCTTCCATGGGCCCCAATAATCTGAATATGTGATCCATCCTGGCCTCAAAGACAATCCCTTCCATGCCCTTGGGTCCCCCCAAATCCTAAGAGTAGTATAGGGCAGAAGAGGAGCATGATTCCCAGAATCTTGATAGAAATTCATTTGCCTCTTCAAATGCCACTCTTGACTTGTCTCATTCTCACAGGCAAGGCTAAGACACCGTACCACTAAGACAGCGAGGTGCTCCCAGTGTGCATCTTCTTTTTGCAGCCTGTTATTCTCAAGAAACAAAAACAAATACAGTATGATCTTTTGGGGAGTCCTCTACTTCATAGGTGTGTGTGTGTACAAATGAAGAAAGAGAAAGAGAGGCCCATCTTGCAGAACTGGGGAGGGAAGAGTTCACTCAGAATAGGCAAGAGGTTCCCCCTACATCCTTGGTCCATGAGCCATTCAGGATCAACCTATATATAAACAATGTTAAAAGAACATTTTGAACAAGGCAGTCCTGGATCCCAGAAGAAAATGATTGTTTGCTGGATGTATATATTTATTAGAATGACTTAGAAAGTAACCTTATAAAGCTATAACATGCAATTATGATATTTTATCATGTCTCACTCTTGCCAGGTGAAAAAGGTTTCAGCAGAAGTCTTTTTTAAAAAACCTTGCTTGGTTTTATATAAAATTTGGCCATGCATGCAACATGATAGCATACATGGTATTTCCATTCTTACTCTTTGCAATTCCCTGATGCTACTTTATCCAGAAGAGTACATTAATTTGATCCAGGCATATAAAGCAACAACAAAAAAAAATTCTGTTACTATAATGTCTATCAGATAACAAGCAGGTAGAATTCACCAGCTGTACCCAATCCTACCAACTTTCCCCCTAAGATGTCCTTGATTCAAAGGCAAGACCGTCCTGCCCTGCCATGTGGTCTGTGCAGAAGGTCTGACTTTTCTGCAGACTGTCCCCAATTCTGTAGGTCAAACTGGTGTTAGATGTTTTTGGAGTCCTTAAGGATTTCTGGCACTGTTGGGTAAAAGGTAAAGGTTCCCCTTGACATTTAGTCCAGTCGTGTCCAACTCTAAGGCGTTGTGCTCATCCCTGTTTCCAAGCCATAGAGCCAGCGTTTCTCCAAAGACAGTTTCCATGGTCATGTGGCCAGTGCAACTAGACATGGAATGCCTTGACCTTCCCACTGAGGTGGTACCTATTTATCTACTCACATTTACATGCATTCTAACTGCTAGGTTGTCAGGAGCTGGGACAAGCGACGGGAGCTCACTCCATTGCGTGGATTCGATCTTATGAGTGTGATACGGGTAAGAAAGAAAGACGTCACTCCATTGTGTGGATTCGATCTTATGAGTGTGAGAAGGGTAAGAAAGACAATATGATCCTTAAAACTCTATTTCATATAAAACTAAACCAGATCAGAGAGCAAAACAGAGTCCCACAGGGTAGGATGAAGTGTGCAACAAACAAGGTGAAAAAGACAAGACAAGCTGGGCAGAGGGGGGAAGAGCCCCAGTAATTTTATAGGGGTGGGGTTGCATAGACAGAGCAATTGAAGGCTTTCATAGTGTGCTTTTGTTAAAGTGATAGTCAATAGAGCCGAATACAGAAGAAATAACACTGGCTTTGATAAGGCAAGGGTGAGCATCACACTTTGATCATAGTGTATTTCCTCCCTAATGGTCTCATAATGGCCCCAAATGAGCCATCTTCAAGGACAGGCTGATTCAGATCGGTGGCAGGAGGAAGAAGACAGTAGCTTATAGACCAGTCCTTGCAGGATGTCAGATTAATGCTGGGGGAATTAGTTGTTGCTTTGGCGTTAAGTCGTGTCCGACTGTTCGTGACCCCATGGACCAGAGCACGCCAGGTCCTCCTGTCTTCCATGGCCTCCCGGACCTGGGTCAAATTCATGTTGGTCGCTTCGATGACACTGTCCAACCATCCCGTCCTCTATCGTCCCGTTCTCCTCTTGCCTTTACACTTTCCCAACCTCAGGGTCTGGGATAATTACCCAGGGTCAAAATGAGCACAAGATGATGGTGATGATGATTGCCTTCACACTTCCCCAACCTCAGGGTCGGGGGGAATTACCCAGGGTCAAAATGAGCACAAGAGGATGGTGATGATGGTGATCTTAGAACTGTGGAGCTGGTAGGGACCCTATGGATCATCAAGTCCAATCTCTTGTCAAGGAAGCATAGTGGAAGACCCTATGGATCATCAAGTCCAGTCCCTCATCAAGGAAGCATAGTGGAGAATTGAACTCCTCAATATCTAAGCCACTGAGCTATCCAGCAGTTTAATAGAAACTGTCACACAGGAAGCTCCTGGCTGGTGCTCCTTACATTGTGCCACAAAGTCATGAAGAAAGTTGGGTGGGGGAGGGAAGTGACTGAGTATCTGCTCTTTACCTGGCAGTAGGAGTTTCAGGGACAAGAAATTTACTCTTCTTGGTGTTGCAAGAAGAGGGAAACGTTTTTTTAAAAAAGATCCACCAAAAATGTTTTCAATTATATGCCACATGCGTAATGTAACAGTAACTGCCACCTTCCTCAGCTGCTGTAAATCAGATTATACATATTTGTATGTGCATAGATGTATATGCATGAGCGTAAAGATGGAGAATGTCAGTGCTAGTCAAGGACACAGCAAGTTTTGTAAAGCCTTTTGGCGGGAGCGTGGGCACAGAAACAGTTAAATCTTCACAGGGTTCACAAATCAGGAAAGCAAAAAAGCAATTACATTCCTGCTGTCCAAAAACCCCAACCGACCTCCCTTCCTACCTTTAGCCTCGAATCCACACCTTTTGCCTGGCTCAATATATCATTTCTGTAGGGGAGGGAAGCTGTGGGGAGGTATCAGAGCTGCAGGTAAATGGTGTCATAACACATTCATCAAATGGCAGCGGAAGCCACAGTAAAATTCAAGCATCTGACAAGGGGCAGGAAGATGTTAAATATTTACTGATCCAGTGAAGATGAAAGGAAAAGGAAGAGATGTCTCTAGATTTACCGAGCATGCTTGCATAGGGAAGCTAAGCAAGGGGAAGGGAGGTGACTGGAACACATTGCCAGTGCCTCCATAGAAGAGTGAAGTTGGAAGGGGCCTAGAAGGTCATCAAGTCCAACCCCCTGCTTGATGCAGGAAGACAAATCAAAGGAGATCTGCCAGGTGGTTTCTCTTGAAGGCCTCCAGGGTTGGAGCACTCGGCCACCTCTTGAGGTCACTGGTTCCACTGTCGTACTGCTCAAACAGTTAGGAAGTTTTTCGTGACATTCAACCAGAATCTGGCTTTGAGTACCAAACATTTCCTGTGCTGATTTGGAAGAAGCGAGGATGCCGATTTTTAAGTCTCAGCAGGGGCTGGTCCTCGACACAAAAGTGAGGAAACCTCTTAACATGTATTTAAAGTATTCATTTAAATGTGTGTGCTGCATTTTGAAAAACATGCTGCACAACCCATCAAAACATTCTTGCAAAGTTTATTTCCCCAAATTATTTAAAAGCCCATTTTAAGGCTAGTTTTTAGATGTCAAAAGTCATAAGAAATGTGCAGGTTGCTGGAAACCCATCCGTGCTGGAGACAAGACAACTTGGCTTCCCTCTGGAAGGAAGGTTCACAGGGAAAGTGTCGCAACAGGAAGAGGTCTGGGCCGTATACTCAGCCACCTAGTCTCTCGGGATGGTGGCCTACACAACAAAACATCCACTGAGTGGCTCAAATTCTCCAGTGGTCTTGGCGGCCAGCTAGTAGCTCAACAAGGATGGAGTCAGCCTGGCTTCCTACCACCATCTTCACCTCCTTGTCAGAGCAGCAACTCCTGCACAATAATAGGCCCTCTGTGTTTACTCCCCACAGCCCAGTCATGCACCAGTCCATGGAATGAGATTGGGCTCCCAACCTGCATACAGCCTACTCAGCACATGCCTTGTTGTACCCACCAAGCTGAACAAAGACCACCAGACACTGAATTTTGACCTGCTGTGGGTTCAACAAACATTCTCCTGTTTGGGCACTCTGGAAGACCTGGGTTTGGCCCGGAGGAGCCACCATTACGGACATGAATAATCTCTCTTGTCTTTGTTTCACTTTACTTTTTCACCTCCCACAATCTTTTTTTTTGTCTGCGTTGCTAATGGCTTGAGTGACTTCGCTTTTTTTAACTGCATTGAAATTTATGCGCATTTCTGCACATTTTTCCTTAATGGGCACATTTGTTGTTGCATTTTACCTAATATGTGTATTAACTTATTCCTCTCACCCTAATTTATGCATTTGCCCAATTGTCCAATGCAAGCATGTGCACCCCCCAGCCTCCAACAGCATGAATTTCAGCCTTTCACTTCGCCGGTAGTTCTGCGTGTGCTTTCTTTCTCTGAAACACCCTGTAAGTCTTGCAAATGTGCCAATTCTTGAAAGAAGGTGCATTTCAATTTAGTCAGAAGATGCAAAAACATCATTTGTTTAGGACTCTTTGATTTTTTTTTAAAATCCCATTTGTACCTAACCTGTTTTCCTGAAAATAAGCCCTAGTATGATTTTTCAGGATGCTTGTAATATAAGCCCTACCCCCAAAATAAGTCCTAATTAAATGAAAGCCCGCCCT